AAACTTAATGGGGAAAAAAAAAAAAGAAATGGTTGTTGAGCCCTGGACCCTTGCTACTCAGAATTAAACTTTTAAAGTTTTTATTAGTATATCTTTGAAGTACATTGGGGAGTTGGTATATATACACAACACATCTTAATTCTTTTCACTTCTACTTCCCCTTCCTCCCAACTCTTTCCATCTCTTGGTTGTCTTCCCATTTACAAAGGATCTGTTAGAATAAATTTAAACAAGTACAATAATTTTAAGAACTGGATTTGTGTTTTTTGTCTCTCTCTTTCTCTCCCCCCCTCCTCCCCGAGACAGTGTCCTGCTATGTATTCCAGATTGGCCTTGAACTTATTCTGTAGTGCAGGCTGGCCTTGAACTTGTGGCAATCCTCCTGCCTCAGTCTCCTGAGTGCTGGGATTACAGTTGTGTACCATCATGCCCAGTTCTTTGGGGTAAAATGGAATTTTGGTGTTGTTTTAATTTGAATTTCTTTAATGGCCAGTAATATTGAACATTTCATGTATTTATACTTTGTCATTTGTACTTCTTCTGATAAGTGTCTATTTTCATTTGCCCATTTTTTAATTGGGTGTTTTATTTGGGGGGGTCTAACTTTTTTGAGTTCTTTATATATTCTAAGTATTAGTCCTCTGGGGAATAGCTGGTAAAATTTTTTCCCATTCTGTAGGTTGTCTCTTCACTCTGTTGGTTGGTTCTTTTGCTGTGCAAAAGTTTTAATTTGATATGATCCCATTTGTTAATTGTTGGTAGTATTTCCTGTGCACCTGGGGAACCCAGGGCTTTTACACTGAGCTACTCCCTTCTCCCTTTAAAAAATTTTCTTTAGTTTGAGCTAGGGCTAGGGTCTCACCAAATCACTCAGGTTGGGCTCAAACTTGCAATCTTCCTGCTTTAGCCTTCCAGAATGCTGGGACTACAAGTGAGTGCCACCATGCTTAACTCAGAATGTAACTTAAAAAAAAACACTGCTTGGCTGGGGATGTAGCTCAGTGGTAGAGCACTTGCCTATCATGTGCAAGGCCCTGGGTGGGAAGCCCTGGGCTCAAGCCTCAGCATCACAAAAACAAACAAAAAAAGCTAAAAGATACGACTAACTCTAGGTGTGCCCCTTATTGTTCTTAGTTAATTCATCCGGCACAGGTCCTCAGCACCAGTGTTTTAAAATATTTCTCCTTCATTCTGATGTGCAATCAGGCTTGAGAATTACTGATTTAGACTTTCTGTCTGCCTCAGAAAAAACCTGTTTCTCTGCCATCCCAAAGAGTTGGAGATAAACCCCAAAAATGGTAAGGGTCCTTTCTGCAATTTCACACTCATTTCAAAAAGTTAAGCTACTCTTTTGTGAAGATCATCAAACCCAAACGTAAAATCAATATTTCATTTTCTCATTTGTGTCCACTCTTAAGTGAATATAAAGGAATATAGGATTAGACATTAGTATTCACAAAGATACCACACAAAAAGCAAGCAAACTGCAGAAGGGTCTGAATAGATGGGCTAGGAGAGGCAGAGATAGAGTAAAGGAGGGATGAAGGTGAGATGTTCCCTATGACATGGCTGAGAGGTAGCAGGACCCAGGGTGCTAAGAGAGCTAAAGGAAGAGGAGAAAGGTTGCAGGCTCAGAAAAGGCAGTGTTGGGATACTTGAAGCATCACAACACCTTTCACCTCATCACAACTCCAACATTTCTTGGTTTCCCATGTGAGCATTATCAACACCAGAGGCCTCTCCTTTTTTTTTATTTTTGGTACCGGGGATCGAACTTGGGTCCCTGCACTTGCACAGCAGGCAGGGAAACCACTGAGCTAAATCCCCGGCCCCTAGAGGCCTCTCTTTATTTGGCCACTCTTACCTTCTGGCTATTTTTCCTGCCAAAAGAGGAAAGCTCAGTTAGAGCCTCCTCTCCTTACAGCCCCTACTAGGAAAGGTCTGTGTTTGTTCTCTTACCTGTGGTTTCCTCAGCCTGATTGAAGCCACAGATCTGGCAGATGCTCTGGACCCACTTATTCATGTCCTCTTCTGTCTCAGCCACCAGGTAAAAGGTTCGCTCACTGGTCTTAATATCAAACACAAAACTATCCTGAAGCTCCTTCTTGTTGAAGGTCAGGCCTGCATCCACCTGTTCACAGAAGTTCAGGTTGATGATCCTCAGGGGCTTTTTGGAGTGATCATTCTTGTAGTACTCCAGCACATCTGGGTCACCACTCATCCGGCCACTCCGCAGGATAAACCACCTTTTCTTCCAGGCCTACACATACCAGGAAAGAGCAAGGAGATAGGAAAAATGCTATTAGTTATTTCAAACCTTTTAACAGGTCCTTAGACACCATAGGTTAACGTGGGGACTGCCAGACCCGCAGGCTGCTCAAAAACAATGTTTCCCTTTCAGATTTCCTCAAAGTTTCAAAAATGGAGGATGAATTTAGGATGTGAGTTAATGTAACATTTCACTATGGAGACAGTCTTACCAATGCAAAAGAAAAGGTACCATTCCTAATTTTTAAGTCAGGAAATTAGATGAGAACAACTACAGAACAACTATTCCTTTCAGGCTAGAATATAGATCCAAGCTGATAGTACTTTTAGGCAGCATAAAACTTACAAAACCATAATACATGTATTTGATTAAAGATGGGTACCCTCCAAAAAAGAATGGTGAGTTAGGGCTGGGGATTTAGCTCAGTGGCACTGTGCCTGCCTCACAAGTGCAAGGTCCTAAGTTTGATCCCCCAAAAAAAAAAAAAAAAAAGAATGGTGAGTTAAAGAAATAATGTCACAAATAACTTCTTCTTTTTTTTTTTGGTACCAGGGATCAAACTTGGGTCCTTGCACTTGCGAGGCAGGCGCTGGAACCACTGAGCTAAATCCCCGGCCCCTATGTCACAAACAACAGAAAAATAAGTTTCCTAACTTCCTACAATGTGCTTTTTACCAAATCATGATGTTTTAGAAGAATCACAAAGAGAAGTCCTTCTAAAAGTCTCTGAAGTATATAACTTCAAGATTTTTTGTTTTGTTCACCACTATGCCTTATTTCTAGGACTTATAATTGTGCCTTGCTCATATTAAGCACTCGATATGTATTTTAAGGGACTCCTTATCATCCCACATTATAGAATTTAAAACCTCGTTAAATTATTCCTTTAAGCTATCTTCCACATCTCATTTCTTCAATAACAGCAAGTAATCTGTGAACAGATACCATACAAAGTGATAAAAAGATTACACATAATCCAGAGTTTTTGGTTGAGTCTATGCTTTACCACTGACTTACTTCATGATTTTTGACTAAGTCATTTGCTTCATCTATATAAAGAGAATCACCACCACCATCATCACCATCTACTCTCCTATCTCTTGGGGTTTTTTTTTTGGTACCGGGGATCGAACTCGGGTCCTTGCGCTTGCACAGCAGGAGGCAAAACCACTGAGCTAAATCCCCGGCCCTCTTGGGGTTTTAATTTTGCAAATGTACCCAAACATTATAAAGCCCTAGCACTTAAGCACCTAAAATACCACATTTATGGATAGTTTGCACACACGCTCCTGGAAGGTAAGCTCTATCACTGAAGGGATTCTTTATTATTTATTACATGCTACATACTCAGTGTTTAGGATTGTGCCTGACATATAGCTGATCAATAAACATATCCATTAATTAGTATGTATTAGTTACATGAAGTCCTTACAGCACATAGTAAGTCAAGGAGGGCCATAACTGGTGCCCAATAAGACTCAGATTGAAATGAAAATTGAGGTATAATCATACAGAATAGATTTGAGGAAAATAAAAATAAATACTACTTATTTACAGTTCCCTAAACTCTTGCTCAGATCACTGGTGTGAGAACTCTGCATGTGCTTTTGTGTGTGCATGCTACAGATGCACATACAGACACAGTATGTGGGTGGCAAGGTGCATTTTATAAAGGTATTGTTAGTAGTTTCATCTGGTGTTTCATTTGATGTATTTCCTTCAGAATTTGTCTTTGTGGAAGAAGCCATCCCCAAATCACTGATGTGCAGATGTACACATAAATAAAACATACATAGATACCCTCAAAAAAAGATACTGATGTTTGCTACAGATAACTTCAGAGCCTGTCAGGTTCTGCTTCCAAGAAAGTGGATAAATGGTTGCCTACAAAATGCTGATAAATTTATGACAGAGAAGGCAAGCCTGTCTAGTTGAGTCCCAAATTCACTTCCCTTTTTTGCTACAACTCCTTGCCAATTTCACACTTAAAAAAAAAATCCAGACAATGAAGAATCAAGAGCAAACAACCCCAAAGTGTCTCACCTCAGTGATGGCTTGCTTCCCTGGTCCCTCCAGCTGAAATGGATCTCCACTTCCTCCAAATTTTCATAACATTTTAATGTACTTTTCATTGTATGTCATTTTTATAACTCATTACAGGTATTTCTACACTTGACTCTTTCTGAATAGACTAATAGTAAAGATCTTTAACACTGAGTCTTTTTACCTTGCTGCTTCCACTTATGTTTCCTTCTTCCTTTCCTCCCTTCTCTGCTTCCTTACATCCTTACATCTATTTAACCAATAAATATTTATTTAGTGGTTACTATGCTCTAGGGCAGTGGTGGCTCACCCAGCTGTTTGTTATCACTGAAAGCCCTAAAAGGTTCACCATCACTGCTCTAGGGATTATTCTAGATGGATATAATATGATTTCCTGGTCTTTCAGAACTTACAGGTACACAGTAAGTTACTTATTATTCTCCAAATGCATTGAATAATTTTATGACTGCATGTCTCTGTGCAACCTGTGGCATCTTCCTAGAGTGTCTTTCCCCTTACTTTACCCATCTGGAGAATTTCTATGCCTTTCTATCCAGCTCAAATGTCACTTCTCCTGGTTCACTAACTCCCCCAGGTAGAGTTGGTGATCCTTCTTGTGTTTCTTTATTAACCTAGACTTTTCCCTGCTTGGCCACTTCTTCCTCTAAATTGGGCATTTCAATTGGTTATGTATCTTTCTCCCCTGTAAGCTCTTAGCATCTTGAGGTCTGGGTCCTGTGTGGCTGACAGCAGCTTGGTAGTTTGCTTAGTAAATACATGGAACTCAGTGACGATCTGCTGGGATTTTTTTAATTCAATGAATATGTTAATTTATTCACACTAATAACTACAATTTAAAAAATACAAGTGATCTTTCACAGTAGGAAATATGAACTGAGGACAGCAAGAAAACTACAGAAACAAAATAAGGATATGAATTGGATTCTCTATAATGTGCATTCTTTAGCAACTGTTCTTTTCATTCTGATAAACAGAGTGACTATGTAATAAATATTTATAAAGGGGCCTGGGAGCTTTAGTTGAAAAGTGCCCCGTGACATAGAAATAATTACTTTTGGATTACTGACACATAATGCAACAAGATTATGGAAATATGAATCTTGAATATGCTGTTAAAGACGAAAGATTTTTCAGGTCTGCTTCCCTATCTCTATAAAAATCTCATACAAAAATGAACTCAAAATGGATTATGGATTTAAGTGTAAAACACAAATGCAATTCAGCAACCTACAAAACTATGTAACCAAGTAAGGCTTATTCCAAAGAGGTATGGGTAATTTAAATTTGAAATCAATCAATATAATAGAAGGGAAATTTTTCAACTTGATAAACAGTATCAACAGAAGACCAATGTCCAATGTTACACTTAGTTTTGAAAGACTAAATGCTTTCCTTCCTAAGATTAGGAACAAGGCAAAGATCCTATCACTCTTATCCAACACAGTGCTGGAAGTTCTAATCAGGCAATAAAGCAAGAAACATATAAAAGGTGTACAGATGAAAGGAAGAAAATAATGCCTCCCTTTTAGATTTTTGTCAACACAGAAAATCCTAAGATAAAGAAGATGTGATTTTTTTATACCATGGAGTACTACTCTGCCATAAAGAAGGATGAGCTTCAGACATTTATAGCTAAATGGATGCACCATCAAATTGTACTCTTAAGTGAAATAAATTGAACACACGTGTAAATACTGCATTGTTTCTCTGATGTGAGAAACTGCAAGTGGAAATAAGGGCTAAAATGTATAATAGATGTTGGGAAATGGGAAGAAAATGTTCAAATGGGAAGGGGAACAAGGGAGGAAGAAGGGAGAAAGAAAGGGACAAAAAAAGTGAAAATAGAAGGAAAAAATAGAAACACAGCTTTTGTACATAGGGAGGTAAGGGGCTTGAGAGGGGAAATAACATAGAATTTATTAAAATAAAATTTATTTTAAAAAAAGAAAATCCTAAAGAAATCTACAAAATATACACACACATACCTACACATATACAAACATACCACATACACACACACCCCTCCTGGGATTCCAAGGTCTCAGGATACAATACAAAAATACACAAATCAATTTACTTGTATGTACTAGCAATGAACATGTGGGCACAGAAAATAAAAGACTGTTAGGCCTGAGAGTGTAGCTCGGTGGTGGAAGACCTGCCTAGGACGCTTAAAGCTGTAGAGTCAGTCCCCAGCACCACAAAAATAAAATAAAATAAAATAAAATAGCGTAAATTTAATAAAACTTGTACAGTATTTGTGCCAAAAACTGTATAATACTGATGAAAGAAACTAAACAAGATCTAAAGAAACATACCATGTTCATGGACTGGAAGATTCAACATGGTAACCATTTTTGTAAATGTGGACAAAATGATATTCTAAAATATAAATGGAAAAGCAAAGAAAGCACAATGGCTAAGGCAATTTTGAATAATAAAGTGATAGGAATGAATGTACCACATTTAAAAACTTGTTACACAGTTATAATAATCATGATTACTTGGAATTGGTGGAGAGATAAATAGAACAATAGAATAGAACCAAGAACCCAGAATAAGATCCACATTATACACCTAACTGATTTTTGGCAAAGGTGCAAAAACAATTCAATGGAGAAAAAACAGTCTTTTCAACAAATGGTGCTGAAGCAATTGGGTGTCTATGGGGGAAGAGGTAGGGACTGATCTTAATCTCACACTTTCATACCTTACACAAAAACTAAATCAAGATGAACTATGGACTCAAATGTAAAACTTTAGAACATTTTGGAAAAAAACCAGGTAGAAACATTTGTCTTCTCAATCAGTAAACTTCTTCTGTAGCATTAAACACAAATTCTGCTGAGTGTTTTAAAGGACAAAGAGACAAGATCCAAATATTCTTTTTCATGTGACTTACAATATTTACAAAGTTGCAGTTAAAA